AGTCCCCTGAAGAGCGCGAGACCAAGGAGGGTACCTCCTAATTGCGGCATAAAGCCGTCCCGACACTTACCACATTCACCAAGGCGGCGGAGGATGCAACAAATGCTGACGGCAACAGCGAAGTTGGGGCGTTTAAGTCTGGCGTTTCACTCGAATGAAAATGGCTGCAACAGAGAGATGTATATTAATTACATAATCAAATTTCAGGAGTGTAAGAGTGAAAGTAAAAACAATGATAATAATGGTCCGGCATTCCGGTTCTTAAGTCTCGACAAGGAGGCAGGTTTCAAAGGCTTCTCTGCAGACTGCCTTCATTAATTGTAATTTGCAAATAGCAACAGCTTGGTTCTTTTGGCGTAATTAAATTCGTAAGAAAAGTGCCATAAAAATAAATCGGAAAATATATGGAAAAGCGCAAATCACTTGGATGCCATCTAGCCTGGATCCTTTGGCCAAAAATTGCTCGAAAGTTGGCAGCCACGGCGGCAGCTTTCCCGCCCCCAAGTGCGATCCAGCTCCAGGAAAGCTTCGCAGCCCTGAAAACCCCGAATACCCCCTGAAAATCAATGTCTCCGTCTGCCTGTCTGTGCGGCAGAAGAAGAAGCTTTTGAGGGTCGCGGTGAGGGACAACGTTTAGCATCAGCGCTGCTTTGCTCCCCACCAGCCAAACTGAGCGCCGGCTCTCTCGGAAAAGCTCGCGCTCGTTGCAAGCAGGCGAATGAGCGAATAAACTACATCTGTTCTGTGCGATTCTCAACCTCAAGTGAACCAAACCGTCAGTGGGAGGGGGCCGAGTGGGCAGAGTGGGCTGAATGGGCTGAACTCGGCTGAACCTCACTGAACCTGCCCCACGGAGCTCGGCCATTGGGATAGGTCCAAGTCCTCAGTGCCTCTGTGTGCGTATTCGCATACGAATGTGTGTGTGTGTGTGTGTGTGTTAGTGCTCGACTGGGGCGGCTAAAAATAGTTAAATGCAGTAGCTCGGTCTGTCGGTCACTTGCCAAACACCCCGACAGCCCTCCCCCCCTCCCCTATCCTTCGTACAAGAAAACACACATGAAAACCACTCCTGCCCTTTTTTTAATATTCTTTGGCATCGAAAAAATACATTTCCGTGTTCGGAATTTGAACTTTTTCAATCTGTTTTCTAGTTGCCACGAATACTTTCATGCCTTGATACCTTAAATGCATTATGAAACAAAACTTTAAAAATAACCATATTTAGGTTTACAACTGCAATGTTATTGTTATTGCATTTTCTGCCAGTGCACCCCTTCATTAACACCCCCATCTCCCCCCGCCCTTCCTCCTCAAGCGGGCTTTTTCACTTTTAACATTTTATTGCTATGCTGGCATTTTTTTCATGCTCAGGTCTTTTTTTTCTGTATTTCACATAGAACTGTAACGCCCACCGCCGCTCGCCCCCTGCGCCCCCTTGCGCCCCCTTGCGCCCCCTTGCGCCCCCTTGCGCCCCCTTGCGCCCCCTTGCGCCCCTTTTCTTACCGCACCGCACCGCACCGCCCCGCCTCATTCAGCATTTTTGTTTTCATGCATAAAGGTTGAAGACCTTTCACCTACTTTTTGTGTGTGCTGCTTCTTCTTCGCTGGCTCTGCGTTTGTTGTTGTTGCTTTTTGTTTCGTTTTTGATTTGGATTTTTCGTTCGTGTGTGTGTGTGTGTGTGTGTAAGAGTGTGTTTTTTGTTCTTTTGGGGCAAGAGAAAAGTTTGCATTTTAAATAATTCAACGAGCGAGATGGAGCGATGGAGCGATGGAGTGGCAGAAGAACTGTAAATGTCTGGCGGAAGAAGCGGAGCGCCAGAGCGCAAGGGAGAGGGAGATGGAGAGGGAGATAGAGCACTGATGTTACGTGTGCGTGTGTGTGAGTCATTTGAGTCGTTCTGCGAGTGTGTGCGAGTGCACTTCTCATATATTTAGAACACTTTTTGTAGTTTATTCGATTTCTGCTGGCCGCCTTTGTTGTTTGGTTGCTTCATTTGTTGTTTTCCTGGCTGTTTCTGTTGTTTCTGTCATTTCTGTTGCCTTGTTGCAGCGAACACTTGTTAGAAAGGGGGGGAGGGCGCTGAAGAGAGCAGGCTGATCAGCCCCAACGTATGTTTGTACATTCCACTTTGCAATCCATCAAGCATAAAACATGCCAGTGCTGACGGGATGATAGGGATGATCCATGGGGATCCATGGAGCAGGTCCCTGGCAGTCTAGACCCAACCACCGATCCGCCCAACCCTTTTAGCCCAAGCCGTGCTCCTCGCTTTCTCCTTTGCCCTTTGCGTGCTCCCCTGCTTTCTTTTGTTTTTACGTTTTGTTTTTTTTTTGGCATTGCCAATCGCAAAAGTGTATTTAGGTCAATTATAAATATTAAACGCAATTAGCAATGAAATGTTCAATTTCATTATCACCGCAGCTGGCGTCGCTGCCGACGTCGCCACGAATAAAAAAAGAAGACATAAAATACAAAAAGAACGTGAATAAAATTGGCTGACAAAGCCGGCTGATAAGAGAAGAAGTATTTGATCAGAGGCTAAGCGGTTCCGCAATGTCAAGACTGTAGTAACCTGGTTTTGCGACAAATAAGTTGACTTCGCACCTGTCGGGGTGTCGATCAAATAAATTCGCAGAATATTGGCCAAACTGCAGGAGCAGGAAACATTATTGTGGCTGAAGGTCGTTGATATTTACTTGGGGGCCAAACAGCTCCGGAAACTCGCATTTCCCGAGTAAATAGGCGACCATCTTTTAGCTGGCTTATTCGATTCAACTGCAAGTGCAAACGCAAATTGCGTTACTCGCAAAGTCCTTGACAAATGCCAAGCGATGACCAGGGACTGCGCCCCTCCATCCCCCAGCCACAACAACGAACTGCAATACGCCCCACACCCCACACCCCCCTCGCTCTTGCAGCACGCGCACAGATGTTTGTCTTTGACTCGAAATGACCTTAAACTGGGTTAAAGCTTGCCAAAGTTACCTCGCGGGGGCGGCTGGGGGCGGGGCGGCTGTAAATTGAACTTTCTGTGCAACAGAGCATGGCCAACGAGCAGGAGAGGGAGATGAGAGAGATACAGATGAGACAGAGAGGGAGAGAGAGCGAGCGGAAGAGAGAAGCGGTTTGTTTGCCTAAATGCAACTCATGAATCATTCACACGCAACTATGAATATGCAGAAGTGAACCGATTTGAATGCACAACGAATATGCCCGCACACGCACTCATAAAGAAAAACCCAGCACCAGGCCCAAACAGAATTGCAGACCAAAGTTTGTTTATGCAAACATAAAAGCGAGCACCTGAAGGAATGCCAGCAACCATTTCCTACTGCAATCCGATCTAACAAGCTCAAGAAAGCGGCCCAAACGGAAGCTTGTGCTGCATCAAAGCGAAATGAGTTAAAGTGGAGCCCCGCTAGCAGGAACGTGTCGCATTCGATAGGCAAGTAGGTATTAGTAAGAGATAGCCACAACATTTTGGGTGCCATTCTAGAAAGATATTGGCACCGAACCTAACCTCAAGCAACGGTATTTATTTACATGCATACAGTTACCAGCTGGCTGCTCTTCTAATTGCCTTGCATGTAATTCATTTTCTATTTGCCAAGAGAAAGTAAAAACAAAACCACACACTCATCACTCATGCTCATCACTCACACACACAGGCACTCCAGTCAATACATTTTATTGCCCATCAAAAAATCAAAAAAGTTTGACGCTTCGTTTTCTATTGTTGTCTCGATGCTCTGTCTCTCTCGGTTTTCTGTGTGTGCGGGCGTTAAGTCGGTGGCGCAGTTGAAAAGAGAGAATTGAGAGAAGCCTTTTAAGCTGAGTTCGCTCGTGGTGGTGCTAAGTAGTCGTAAATAAAAAATAAAAAAGCCCCAGAGCAGAACATTTGAGAGAGCGCGCGAAAGGTGAATGACTTTGGGTATAAAAAGTTGCGCAGTCAGCTCATTTGCCATCTCTTTTTGGCCCGTCCCCCCTTCTACTAGTGCACACTATATCGGACTATTTCGATAACGAAAATGCAAGGCACTATTTCGGTTTTTCCCGTTTTTTTTTTTTAGTACAGTGCTCACTCGTTATAATGACAAACATAGGCAAGCACTTGTACATTATGGCATAGTGTAATTAATGAAAATCAGGCTGTGTCTCCAATAAGTAGGCTACATTTTGAGAGGCAATCCGACTGGTGGCGAGATCCGCTCTGTGGAGCGACCACTGTAGCTCTGGCTACACGCACTACAGCAAAGCTTTCAGCGAGCAGAGCCCGGAGAGCGAGCTTTTCGCTCAACGCGTACTCAACGGCCGACTTCCACTTCGACATCGACATCGACTTCGACTTCGGCAAACGGCAATGACAGTGTAGCCGTGCCTCGTACTTTACATTCTGCCGCTGCCTTAGTAGGTCAACAAAATTCCGGACAATGGCCTTTCGCTTTCGTCGGCGACTGCGGCGTCGTCGTCAGCGTCGGCGCGGGCAGCGCTGCAGCTGGCAGAGCTTCAAATGTAAATAGAAGCTAAGAAGCTAAGGCAAACGCTGGCTGGCGCCCACCCAACCACCCAACCACCCAACCTCCTCGCCTCGCCTCGCCCATTCACCCTTCAATATGGCGATGGCGATGGCGATGGCGTCGCGACGATGAACATGAAGATATTTCAGTCGTCGCCGCAGCTGCAGTTGTTGTCTGTGTTGCTTTCGATGGCGTAATATGCGCCTGCAGATGGCTATGTGTGTGTATTAACGGGCACATAGTCCCCGAATTCCCCAACTGGAGCTTCCCCAAGTCCGTGTAACTTGAGACACTAAGCAAAATGAACGGCAGTCCCCGCTGCAATCTCCAGGGTAGCAGAGCCGCCTAAAGGTATGCAATTCACAAAGACGTCCTGATGCAAGACATTCAATCAAGCTCTTCGAGTGATTCTACGACCCATAGCACACCTCGGAACCACTTTGAGCAACCCGAGATGAAAACAGTAGCCTTTTGCTCGCTGAATTCTGGTCGCTCATCGAGTTAGCCATGATTTTAGGCATCAGTGTCATGCCTGAAACTCAGTCAGGCACTTCAGTTCGATCCAAAAACCCACAGTGTTCAGACCTCCCCCAGGAGCAAGTGGAAAAAGTTAACAACAAGCCACACGAAACGAGAAGCAGCCAGCGGAAAACCCCCAGGTATGTGGGCTATGTAGGTTAAAGGGCAGCGTTCGTTGCACTCGCAGACTGAAGGACACCCCGGCTGGGTGGTGCTTCCGTCGGGCTTGGGCAGCCTTACATGGAGTCTCCCTGGGAACGGGAAGGGGTTACGCTGCGAAATGTCGACGCCAGCCAGCGAAGTCACGGACTTTGGAGTGTGCTTAAGGAGGCGGCGACATGGGCGGCTACATGGGCGGAGCCCTTCCCACCGCACAGCCGCCAGGGATGCTCCACCCCTGGCATTGCTTATGTATGGTGCCACACGTTGCAAAAACGTTGATCAGGGCTGGCCATGACTGGGCGACTGGGAAAACTCCAACCCTTTTCTTGCTCGTCAAAATCCCTTCTGCTTAGTGCACATACTAATATTTGTTTTTCTCTTCCGTAGGTTGTCCGGAACTATTCGTCCACTTTTTGCAGAACCCCTACCACTAACCGCACGATGGCTAGCCAGGATGCAGATCTTAGGACTCGCAACAGAGGAGCGGGTGATCCTGCCGTGGCCGACTTTTTGGCAGAGGTGGAAAAGTGGACGATCGAAATGCCCTCGCGTTCCAGCTCCACATCATCCAGCCACCGGAGCACAAGCACTAGCACTACCTCCTTTGGGGAGCCGGGTAGCTTCTATCGCAGAAGCCTGCGCCGCGAAAGGCGCATATTGAAGTTATCGCCGCCGTCCATGAACGCGCTTTTCCTGCAGCAGGCGAAGGAGGCCCAAAAGGCGTTCACCTTGAAAAGAATCGTGTTCCTCTATCTGGGCCTGGTCCTGGCGCCCGTCATCATGGAGCTGGGCCCGCGCATCGAGTTCCCAGAACTATGGAAGCAGACCGGCAAATTCCACTTCTGTAAGGAGCGTCGTCTGGCCATGACCTTTACCAACAACACTACTCGCGTCCTGATCCGCTCCTTCCTGTCGGCCGCCGTGCCGCTCTACTGCATGCTCTGCATGGCCCATCCGAATCGGTTCCTACTCTGTGCTCCGCACGCCAGAGGCTGCAAAACGGAGGTGCCGGCCAACGTGAGCGCCTACTTCCTGGGCCTCTTGCCCTATGTGATCCGCCTGCACGCCGGATTTGCCAGGTTCGTCAAGGACACCTGGTTGGCCTACAACGATCATGTGCTGAACATAGCCGAGACATTCAACACCTGGCGCTTGCTCATCTATCTGAATCAGATCATCCAGCTCGTCTACTCCTTCGAGCTGGTTCTGCTTATGGCCCAGGGACTGATGGGTTTTCTGCAGGCCCGTCGCATCTACAAGCTGATCGCCGTAAGGGGCAACCGTCGCGTGATGCAACTGGAACAGGTGGGTGGCGCTTAAACATTTCGGTGGTATCCGTCTGTGAGATAACGTGTTTTTTGCAGAACAAGTCCAAGTTCTGGTACAGCCCCAGCGATAGCACCATGGACGTTTACTGGGCCTTCAAGCTACGTGCCTCCAGTGCTTAGTATTCCCGAGCCCCAAGCCCCAAGCCCCCAAGACACAACTCCTGCCAGCTGGCCAATCATAGACACAAATAAAATTACCAGGTGAGTTCGAGCGAAATGCTCATGAGAAGACTACTAACTACAATTAATTCAGGCCACGCTGAAGCTTTTGCTAACTTACAGTTGGGTATAGCCGCTCTTCGGGTTGGTAATGTTGCACTTGCTGCTTGTCTTGAAGCGGTCTTTAGTTCGAACCTTCGGGTTTGTGGCCGGGTTATGGTTAATATCAAAGCTGTCAATTTTGGTATTGACAGGTTGACTTTGCAAATAGTGGTGCACAAATTGTTGGTGGCTGCAAAGAAAGCAATGAAGTGGGGTTGGTTAGCTCAATTCGAATTTGTTAATTGAAGTATTGCAGTGGCCAAAACTTGCGTCGGCTTGGTTGGTGTCTTCACTTTGCCTTAGCCGGCGCTCCAACCTTTGGCGCCCTCTATGTCTGCTGGCTGCTGCACAGATGGCGCCACTCGGCAGCTGGTGCACTAGATGGCGTGCTGGCTTTGTTTTGATGGCGTTGCGCCTGCAGTTTCAGTTTCTGTGCCAATCGGTTTCATTAACCCCAACGCTATATGTATGCATGCGCATGTGTGTGAGTGTAGGTGCAGCGGCAGCGAAAGGTCAACAAAGTACGTTTCATGGACACAAACTCGGTGCGGCCGCCTCTTTTTGTACTACTTTTCCGTTGCGATGTTGTCCTTTGAATGGCTCACTTAACTCCAATAGTTGGGTTGTTTTTTTCGAAGGTTTGCTTACGCTTACACTCATTGTTGCCCCACAACTTTTAGGCGTGCCTTTGGCAGCACAAACTGAATTGGTAAATTCGCGAAAGCTCAAATCTATGTAATCTTCAGAATCACTCGATTTTATGGGTTCACTGCATCGAGCACGCTCTTGACTTCTAATGCAACTGCAGAACGCGGAAGAATATGCAAAGGGGCTGGGCATCAGCGGGAAAATGAGAGCAAATAAACAGAAAAGGAAAACAAAATGCACTCCGAGTCCAGCGATGGCAGACAGCCATCGGGCAACCGCTTTGCAAGTGCATTAGAAACGGGCTATTATATGGCTCCTTATTTCCTAGCACGAAAGGATCTCCGTCGCCAGCACCCCAACACGCGTGTTGCGCGAGCCCAGTCCGATCGCGCCCCATTGCCCCGGGGGCAGGCGCCCCAACAACAACAGTTGGCCGAGGGCAGGTCCATCCTATGGCCACCTAGTTGCAATGCTCCCCGCCCAGCCCTGCCGGCCACAAGAAGTCCCAGTGCAACGGGACGGAGGGCAAGCACACAGCGCTACAGGAAGAGGCAAAAGCAAAGGGGCACAGCCGGGCGCATGCAAATAAAAATAGATTTTTTCGTTATATAGGATAACGACCACCAACGACCCCAAAGTTGGAACGTCGACGTCCGACGGTGACGTCGGTCGGGACGCCAACGTTCTCGGGCAACGACCGGCAAAAACAAACGCAAACGCATCCAAAGTTTGCCTACCCCCAAGCAGCAGCAGCTCCAACCGCCGTTTGCTAGTCGAAGAGCATTCTCTCGAAGAGAGTTCGCTTGCTTCTCTTCCTCGCGCACACACACACAGCGCGCACACACACAGCGCACACACACACACGCAGCACGTAATAACTCGTAGGGGTTGCTGACCTCTTCTCAGGGTCGCCGAAGGTTGTTGAACTCGGCAGCGCGCAGCCTGTCTCGCTCGCTCCCGCTGGGGACCGGCCCTTGTCTGTTGACGAGGGTCGCCCCCTGCTCCCCTACCCCTTCCTCGCCCAGTCGCTCCTTTTTGCGGCCTGAAATGTGTGCTGGTCGTTGGCCTTTCCTGCGCTTCCCCTCTCTGTCGCTCCTTCGTGACGTAATGTGGCAACAGGGCATTCCCGATGGCGCTGCTTCCTCTCCGCTCTTCCTTGTGGCACCTACCCTCCGCCCAGGCCCTCTCGCGATTGTTGACGCTGCTTTTTGTATTCCCATTTGTTCGCTTTTTGTGTTTAGGGGAAGCGAAAAGTAGGGCTGCTGCTGCTGCTGCTGCTGCTGCCGATGCACTCTTCGTTAGTGTGTGTGTCTGGGTGTGTGTGTTGTGCTCGAGTGTTGGTGCATAGTTCAACATTGTCTGAGGTTAGGGTTGAATGCTCGACGGGCCGCGTCCGCGTCTGCCCCGCTCCCCTCGGTTGGCGAGCCAATGCTAACTAACTATTACGGAGCCCCAGCCCAGCGTTCATTTCAATCTGCAGCGCGCGACACGTTTAAAGGGAAGCTATCGCGTTATCCCTGCTTGGGCACTCCAGACACATCGGTTCGCTGCTATTTGGGCGGGGGAATCTCGCTGGCTTAGCCCAGTTACGATTGAGGAGCATCATATCGCGGCATCACTGTGGCCAAAGTACTGGGATAGTCCAAGGTTAGTTCGAGTCTGAACGGCTGTAGCTGGGAGAATGGTTGCAAGGCTCGAAATGCTATGGGTACTATTGCCGGGTTGATTAAATCGTGTATTTATAAATGCTATCGGTTCAGCTCACGTTAGTTTCGTTGCTCGCAATCTTTCGCTTTCGCCACTAGGCAACAGTGAGCTTTGGTGTCTAACTCGTCTAGGCCTTTAATTCTCCTCTGCCACCCCTCCTTGCCCTGCCCCTTCCCTGCTCCTGCCACTTTCTTCGCTTTTCGCTGTCGCAGGGTTTATCAGTCGGATGATTGGCGCGTGGTTGGCTTTTATCGGTCATTCGCCTCCTGCGCCAAGTGCGTGAGTGGGAGTGCGTGAAGGGGGGAAGCGGGCGAGGAGCGGAGGAAGATAAACGAGTGGGGCCGTGGGGGAGTGGGAGAATCTAGGAGAGTGCGTAGTGGTCAGCAATGCGTCACCATCAATCACACGCAGAACGAGAAGGAAGAAGTAGAGAAGAGAGAAAGCGGGGGAGATAGAGTGCGGGGGAGGGGGGGAGAGTAAGAAGGAAAATGCCATGACCGTGAAGTTTAACGCCCTCCGGCAATGCTAGCGTCGACGTCGCAGCTGACAGCGCTGCCCAGAGTCCGCAATCTGCAAGATACATTCCACAGCGGCAGCGCTCGCGTTCCACGTCCAGCGGGAGTTCCACTCACGGCAAATGTAGATCCATGGTTCTAGTTGAAGATTTGCCCGATTTCACTGATTTCGACTTATTGTTAATCCGCTTGTACATTTCGGTAACTTGTGCTTTCGGCCAAGTTCTGCCCACATTTTAATGCGGCGTTGACCCAAAACTGCCTCTAATAACTCCAATTTCAGCTCAAAGAAACAGTAGTGTAGCTATCGCATATTGCATTTAGAAGATATCGGTAAAGTGCAGCATAATGCGCTGCATCCTTGTGTTTTTGTGCTGCGTGCTAACGAAAATGGAGCGTTTCCCTTTGAACCCTTCGCTTTCGCCCCCGCCCCCACCGTTTCCCCTTCCACTCCACCGGCGACTTCGCAGCGACGTTGGCGTTTTTGTGGTTTGACATTGAACTCGAAATGGATGCGCATCGCTGAGCAACTGCGTTGGCCCTCTGCCAGCAGCAGCCACCCGCCACCCGCCGCCCACCCAGTCGCCCTCTCCCTCTCATCTTAGCCATTTCGCTGGCCACCTTTTCCGTTTTATTTGGCTTTTGGTGTGGAGGGCCAGTTCAGTGAACTTTCGCATAGAAAGCGCGCGGCAGAAATCTCTTTTTTCGGCTTGACTTTCGAGCTTGCCGAAATCTACATACATACATTCATACATACATATGTACAAATGTAGATGTGTGTGTGTGTGAGATAGTGTGGGAGCAAAGGCGTGTGAGTGTGCTAGGAATTAGCAAGTGAACCATTAAACATAACTAACATGTAAGCATAAGAACATCATTCCTAATCATCTCCGAATCATTCCCATTTCAGTATACGATCGATGGATTCCTTGGCATGATAGAAAAACTAACAAAAAAAAACCTAGAAATCAAAACACTGATATTTGGCTAAGGAACCACTGGCGGCTGGCAGAAGTGGAGTATTAGTTCAAGACGAAATGATTTCCACAAAGTCGGATTTCCGCAGCGGACAAACTAACGGTATCGCTGCGTGTACGCTTATTATGTATTTGTTTTTTGTTTTTGTACTCTTCTATGTGCTCCACATACATACATATTCAAGGAACCGAATTGAGTTCATAAGCGACTGAAGAAAAGACCAACAGCAACAACAATGGCAAAGCTCAAGAGCGGCAACAACAACAGCAACAACATCAGAAGCAGCGACGACCAATTTTATGAAAGTCACAGTCAAGGTCAACATGCGTGCAAAGAGCGAGCGGGACAGCGCGAGTGCGCGAGCGAGTGCGAATGCGAGTGCTGGCCGAAAGAAAGAACCGCGGATCTTTGTTGTTGCTGTGTACGGTAAATTGGGGTGGACCCGAGTGGGTGGTTCACTCACCTAAGGTTGCTCGTAATGCCAGTTTAAATACATATGGTTTGTATTTATGTTTTGCATGTGCATTTCGATACGTTTAAAAAGCGTTTATTAACGGGCAACAGGTGCCTGCGTATAGCAACGCGATTCTGAACGAGATACCGCTGGCTGGTCCACCTTAAAATATATTCGCACTGCTTTCTATCTTGTATGATAAGCGCACAAAGAATTTCCTATACGACGAATGCAAAGCAGAAGCGAAGGAAAGTGTGCGAGTTGCTGTGTGTGTGTGTGGGTGGGTGCGGTGAAGGCAGCGGCAACGGCGATCAACAAGGAAGTGCACAAAAATCGAAGTGGCCAACGAAAATCGGCTATAAAAGAGCAACAATCGCAGGTTAAAAGCGGAGCCAAAGCCCAAAGCAGGCAAGCAAACGAAATCAAATCAAAAGTAATAAAAAAATGACTCACTTGATCCCCACGGCACACCAACACAGGCGCAATAGCGCGCACACACAGATACAAAATGGCTAGGTCGGTCGTTCAACCTGAAATCGCGAGAGCAAGAGCGGGAAAAAAGAGAGTAAGAGAGAGCTGATTTTGGTTGCTTTTTTCTCGCTTTTTTCAGCCGGCCGGTTTTGCTCTCCCTCTCTCTCTCTTTATGTCATAACGCTTCTGGTTTCGGTTTTCATTGTTGTTGCTGTTGTTGTTGTTGTTTAGGGTTTAATGACATTGCCGGCCCGTCTTCTTCTTCCTAGCCGTTGTTTTCTTTTTCTTTCTTTCGAACTCTTTGTTTTTATTTTTATTCGTTTTCCTAGCCGTTGTTGTAGTTGTAGTTGTAGTTGTTCTTTGCGGCTTGTACGTTTACTCTTGCAGGGCAAATAAAACTACTGCAACAACAACACAGCCACACTTCACTATGCCGACTGTACAGTGAATACAAATGCGCACAAAAGCCTGTCCAGGCGACGAAAGTAACCGAAGAAATACTGAAAGCCCACTCCGCACTTTCCCCGAAAACAGTTCACCCCACTAATGCTAATATGGTATTATTATATTATTAATATAGCTTGTATTAACCAATTCATGTGAACTTGTTTATTGGCCCACTAAGTTCATAATTAAATGAGATCGAATTTATATTACAAGTTGAAAACGCCAGCGACTCATTTGTGGGGTGTGTAACAAAACAGCAACACTGCAACTTTCTGCTGTGCTGTATTTTTACTTTTTAGCTGTTGCTGTTGTTGTTGTTGCCCCGACGACGCTACTTTGCTTCCTCTGCCGACGTCGGCAGCGCAGCTGTGCGGTCTTGTTTTTGCTTTTGGCTTTGGCTTTGCACTGCCTTTGCCTTTGATTTTGATTTTGCTTCTGCTGCTGTTTCTGCTTTTGTTTTAGCGCGCTCACAAATGTGTGTTAGTTGGCGGTCATTCACATTGAACATGCCCTTTTTGTTGTTTTTCTTTTGGTTCGTTGTGCGCGCTTTCCGTGTGCGCGTGTGTGTGTGTGTGTGCGCGCGCGTGTGAGTGCGAGTATCTGTGTGCGCGAGGGTATCTGTGTGCAGCAACTTCAACTTAAACTTGACGCTTAACATTTTTGAGTCTTTTTTTAAATCCTTGTCGTATATATCATTTCTACCTCATTACGAACGTGCCAGAGCGAGAGGCAAGACGGCCGCCTTGTTCTCTTTTGTATGCAGTGCAATTTGCATTTGAGCTGGGTCCATTGAAATTGACGTCATTATTGAACGGATTACGCAATTCCGCAAAAACTGACTAATTTAACCATATCAGCTCGAATACCGGCGAGAGAAAGAGACAGCACTCGAGGGGGAAAGCATGGGCGAAAACGCACACACACAAACACACACACTCCCAAAGCGCGAGAGGGCGGAATGGTAATGGGAGTAGTGTAAAAGTAAAGGTCATTGAACGAACATTGTACCTATTTTCGCTATTCACACACACATACATACATATGTATCCGTGCCCGTGCCTGTGTGGGCGAATTGTTATTACTATTCGCCAGTTACAAAAAAACATACGAATACGTAAGTACGAATGTGCACAAAGTCAACAAATTAAAAGAGAAACCCGAACTTCCGATAACAGTCGCAAAGAAATGGCAAATACTCTATTAACGAAGGTAAACATATAATTAGAACGCACCTTACCTCAGATTGTGGGATATACCTCAAAGTCCCGGATAAGCGACAAACTTGGCTTATCGGTTCGTATAAATAAGTTGTTTCAAATTCAGATGAGTATGTACGCTCCTGAGGGAAGATAATGCACACCTAAGGCATTTTTTGCTCGATCTTCGAATCCATAGTTTGAAACCCAAGCTCAAAATTTGCAAGTCCGAAGAGAACCAGAAGTATTTAAGCCCCTCGAAAGAAATTCAAAATACTGCTCACTGTAACCACAGCCAATAAGCTTCTTCGCTAGGAAAGGGCAAACTGAGTAATGGCTCTTCGTATTCCGTACTCGAACAAGTCAACAACCGAGTGGAGAAATTTGAGCGATGAAGTATGTGGAAGTGAAATGGTGAAATGGCGAACCGGCGAACCGGCCCAAAGGGAAAGAGGCAGCGGCGAAAGATCGGATCCATCAGATCGCTTGTGTTGGGGTTGAATTGGATTGGATCGCATCTCCAGATAGCCAGATAGTACGCATTCCCCGGCGTAGTTTATTAGTCAGGACTCGACTGACAGATCGCCAGGTCGTGAGTCCAAAGGTCGCAACGTGATCGTTCCATCGCTGAAGAAAGCGTCCAAAACTGCAAGAGTCGCTAAAAAGACGGAGCGATGAAAAGTGCCAACCCAGCTTGGAACAAAAGGTGTTCAATTGTGACCCCAAACAGGATGATTCATCGCGGATTGGGAAAGTGCAATCCACGCGGAAGTCGATTATAAATTCCAAAGAACACACGCTCAAGGCGTTTCGTAACTTTCGAATAATTGCGGTTTTAATATGGCACATCATGAAATACCTTGTGTACTTGGTGTACTTGGTATTCTTGAACCAGGCAGAACTTGCATTTTGCATCTTGCATTTATGCAGCTCTTAATTCTTAATACTTTGAATTTTCCCAATGAGCGAGGCGGCTGAACACGAACACAATCAATCCAATGGCACATAATTAGTAATCATGACTAAGGATAGAAAGGCGCGTGACAAAGAGGGAGAAAGCAGAAAAGAGTGCGATACGGAGACAATAAGAACTTTATCGAGGCACTGACCCCTGGGTGATTTATAAGTTACGTACATATGTGCATATATGTATATGTATGTGCATGGCTAGCACCGACTCCCCCTCCCCCTCCCTCCGACTCGCCACTCACCACTATTCCGCTGCCCCTACCACTGTGCATAATATTGTCTCAGCTATCAAATGGCAAAAGGAAAATGTCAGCGGCAAACGAGAGATAAGGCAAATTCCTCTTCATTCCTTTCAACTTAGCCCGAGATTCGATGGGGATCAAGCAACTGAGAACCGAGTGGCATTGGGCCGCGGGACACGAACGGGGAACGTGGAATGGAACGGCCGAGCCAGCGGAACGGATGGGAACGGAACTGATAGGCTTGTTTACGCTTACGTAGGGACTCGGACTTCTCAGGTTGGCAGAGTTCTCATGCGGGCAATGCCAATGCACCTTATCCCAGGGGAGATATTGAGTGCGCGCTAAATAAACTTCAAGTTCATTGGCATTGATTAAAACGCAAGGCGAAACGAAATGGAACCAAAGGCATTGAAACAAAATGAAATGAAACAAATGCGATAGCCACGCACGTATTCACTTGTGTATATGCAACAAAAGTTTTTACACATCGAAATGTTTAAAACAGTGTGTCTTTTGAATTACAAGATGCGATTTATACTTCAATCTTCCATTGCGACAGACCCTGAATGTTTGAAGCAGCTAAAGACAAACACCAAAACTGAAGCCTACTTTGGACCGCAAGATAATTTTCGGCAGTTGACAGCTGTCAGAATTCGGGATGGAGGATTGAAAGCCATTGGGTTTCCGGATTCCTGCCTGCATGGGCATTTCCCTATATATTCCCATAATTGGCCACCCAACGTACGTGTGTTTGCGTTTGTATTTCCCAAAACCTTTGCCTCCCAAATCGCCACCCCGTGCCGTCCATCTCTTTCGCGCACGGTTAAGCGATGTAAAACGGGGGTTACATGACATTGAAACCGATTTTGAAGGTTTCAACGCTTGTGTCTCTGGACAGGGTAAGTTCTACTGCTTCGGCAGAAATACCCGAAAAAGAAGAACATCAACAGAGCGACGAAAAAACAGACACAAAACCAGAATAAAGCGTTGCCCCTTTCTTGCGTGCTCTTCCTTGTTTCTTTGCTGTAATGGCGAAATATACACAAATTTTGGAATCTCTCTGACGCCCTTGTCACTACATTTTTGGTCATTGACCTCGCACGCACACACAGATACAGCACTCGCGCAAGAAGACCAGTGGCGTGCAGGGGGGATTCAAGTTTTGGGTGCCGAAGCCCCAGAAACCCCAGAAAGCCCAGGTGCCCCGAATCCACAGGAATTATTTGAAGTTTGAATGGTTTGTTGCCATAACTATTCCCGAGAAGGTCCGAGCTGCCAGGACTCGTGTTGGGATCTAAAATCCCCTTAATTAACTGCCGTCTACCCCCCTGCGCCCAGGCACACATGTACATATAGCCATGTAGAGCCATTTGGGACTTGGTAACAAGCGGCAGTCGTAATGCGAAGAATCAGGGAGCAGAAACAAAACAATGCCCAATGGCCCCAGCCCCCCTTTCTGGGTGCCACCCCTCGCTTCCCCAGCCCTGCGGGTAGTCCCCAAGTTCTAGGCGTTGTTATCGTGCGTTTGCCAACCCACCCGCTACTCACAAACACAAACACACACACACGTCGGCAATCAGGAAGAAGAAACCAGCCAATAAATGTGTGGCGCGAATGTCGCCGCACTTTCGATGCCCTTCCCATGAACAGGAGTCCAGGAGCAGGAGTAAACTATTTAGGAGAAAGTTCCCTTTATCACCAAATTGCACAACAAAATTTTAACTAAATGTTGATAGTTCAAATACTTCCAAAAATATTTAACAAAATTATACAAGAAAACCTAGAAAGAAGCTATGAGGAACATCCGCAAACAAACCTTCATTTGCGGTCGCGTTTTTCGCGTGATTGACTAATCGCAAATCAAACTTCGATTGACATACATACAATTTTGAAACTTGGCCAGAAAGGGCATCTGCGTCTTAAACATACATAATTGGTATTTTAGCGGCATTAAAATCGTAGTCATCGACATCAGCATCAACGATTGTTTATCAATGTGTAAATAAGCAGCACTCGTATACGTGTTTGTGTTCGTGTGCGTGTGCGTCTTCCGTATCTGTGTGTATGTATGTATGTGTGTGTGCGTTCCCAAAAATTTCAATAGCAAAGGTCGATGAACTTGCCATCGGCAGCGCAAGAGAGAGAGAGAGAGAGAGGAAGAGTGAGAGCAAGAGACGGTTTTTTGTTTTTGTTCCGCATTTCCCATTTCTCTGGCCATTTCTCGCAGTTCTCTTTGCCTCTCTCTTTGGCTTTCGAGTTTTGCGCGCGCTTCCTCGTTGCGTTTCATTCATAAACAGAGAGCGGCGAACTCGAGCTCGAACTTTTTTATTTCGAGTTATCTCGGCCAGGCCAACGAACCGGCCAACATGTGCTACTGCTGCCGCTGCTGCTGCTGCGCTCCACCTCCCACCCCTGGGTGAACTTAAAGGCGCGGTGACTAAGCCCAAGCGCCCCCTAAACTGCTGAACTTAAGCCCAGCTGGGGTCTGTGGGGCTGTAGAGCCCCGCAGCCGAAGGCCAATTATAATGCCATCACCCGGATTATTGGTCAGTGATTAAAGTAGCGCCATTCGGGGACATTTCTACTGCTCCGGCACAAGGTATGGGTATTTGTGGGCAAAGCATCGAAAACTTTCGGTCAGCATGATCTACATACAAAGATCTCTAGTCCTATCGATAATCCCAATCGATCTACATATCGATTTAAGAAACTTTTCGAAACATTTGGGCATTCAACAATTCGTGAGCCGGGGAAGCGCAAGATGCCTGAGATGGCCAAGGATACGGGGGGCACCGCTTACATGCTATACGGAGGGTCCTGCGTGGTACTCACTTCAATTGGTCCCGTTGCAGCGGTGGCATCTTTGAAGCATTCGGCTGACGCTTCTCTAGTGGCCAGCGCTTGCGAGTACCGTTGATCCTGGAGCCGAGAGCGATACGGATATCGATAATGGTGGTGGTGGAACCGGGGCGATATCCATGCTCCGCCGGCAAGCGAGTATCCGACTACCGTTACAAGTTGATTGCTTGCGGTTACTTTGAATCACTCTTCTTTTGGTTTTTTCCTCTTTTTTTTTTGTTACACACTCACAGCAGTTGGTTTAATATAACATTTCACTGGCAATGTAGTTGTTGTTGTTCACTTTAGTGTATTTGCATTCGTTTTGTTTTGGGGCTTTTTAGTTGCAGCAGGATTTCAAGATCGAGCAGCTGTTGATTTTTTCCAGGACTCTTTAGTTAGACTTGCATTATTGTGGTGGGTGGGGGAAACGTCAACTGCAACGGAACACACACATAAAAAATAGAATTAAAAAAATAACGTCAGTGCCAAGGTGTCGTTATGCATTTTCCATTTTTGCGCCGCACACTCACACACGCACACGTACACACACACACACAAAACAAAAACAAGCCAATTTTTGTGTTGGATCTTTGAGGATGCTTGCAAATTCTTGTTGTCAACAATTAAAAAAATATTTTCTTTGCATTTATTCTTGTTGCACTTGTCAAATTGTCGCACACACACACGCACACAGTGCACCTTGCTGCTAGGGCGAGATAGAGAAAGTGGGGGCGATGGATGCCCTTAAAATTTGTTTCACATATCCAATCTACGGTGGTCAACAAAATCCTGGTGAGGCAACAAAAAAAACGTAAAAAAATAGTTTATTTTTTCGATTTTTGTTATTATTTCTTGGGAACCCACAACGGAAATATCGTTTGATTTTCGAAGCGTTTGCTTTCCGCGCGCGACTAGCTCGTGGGATACACTGAACAATCCACCACCGACTGGCACCACCACTCCACTTGCCCCAATCTCGTGCTGCAGCGCTGCGGTAAAAGAGAGCGGCCGAAGAGAGCGCGCAAGAGAGGATTCTCTTCGTTCCCTCTGCGCAAGAGAAAAGTTCGTTCACTGAACTTTTTTTTGCTGTAAGTAAAGTAGATTTTATAGGCAAGGGCAATATTTTGTAAATTTGAATAGACAAATATTACGATTGAAAGAACTATACTTTTAAATTGATTTCATCTCACAATATATATTTTTTAACAACCAAAAATGTATTGGTTTTTTTGTTTAAAGCGTTTCTGGCATATTAACGAAAGCTGTATATCCACGGCAATGAAGTGCGCCACATGAACCCAGTAAAGAACCCCTGATAAATAAATGAAAACGATCCTCATATATATATAAGCTACATATTTTATTAGTTTTTCACATTATTCACGGCATCAATCCAAAAACATTATCTTGATGCCCGAAGTAAGGACTAGCAGCCGATCGTGTTGGCATTGATAAACTGCACGAACAGGTGCGGCACCTGCTCCAGCGGAGTGGGAGACGTCTGGCTGGCGTGACACGTGCTCGTGATGAACTTCTGGCGCAGGCGGTTCAGCTGGAGGGCGTTCATCGAAGTGGCGACCTTCACGGGATTTCTGCTCCCCGGTATGCGCATCTGGCCGAAGGCCTTGATCTTGACGGCGCCGAGGATTTCCTTGATGATGGTCTGCACGATTTTGTCCAGTTCGAAAAGGTAGTTGGTCGATCCTAGCGGTGCCTGTGAATTAGACAATGCAGTTACTTGTGATATTTCAAATGGAGCTCTCGCTAAGCTGTATGCTTACATTATAAGTACTCTGGTTGGGTGGCAGTGGTTGGGACTCGTACAAGGACTTGTATATGGCCTCCATGTCGAGCGTGTCCTCGGGCAAGACTACCATCAGCGGACTGTCCCAACGGTTGTTGCTCTGCGGCTCCTCGTAACGCTGGCACAGAGCATCGAAAGACTCTCGGGTGTAGGGAATATCCGAGTTGTCCACCGGCTGCTCCGTTTCACTGTCGCCGGGCAGCTGATCCGCCGCCGTTCGTTGACTATTGAATGTCCACGCCTGCTCCTGGGGTATGCAGCAAAATAGAGTGCACTGGGTGGTCCTCGACACCTTGGACATGCAGTACAATTCGTAGCGGTAGCCTGGAAGGAATTTCGCTTGTGGCTTATGACCTCTTGCCTTGGCTAAACCTTGGTGAGAGCTCACCCTTGATGTAGTTTCCGGCGTCCAGGATGACCAGATCCTCCTGGTTGACGTGCCGCGAGGCTTCCGACTTCAGATCGCTGCGCACCACCTTCTCCTTTTGCGAATCACCTGCATGGGAATTCTTGCCAAACCCCGCCTTGGGCACTGCTTCATTTTCGCTGATTAGATGCACCTTCCTGCCGCGCTCCACGAAATGATCGCGCAGCTGGCGGGCACGTGTGCTCTTTCCGCTGGCCGGCAGACCCGTAATCACCACGATGGGCATGCTCCTTAATTAATAATAATAAATAAACAAAGTAGGTGCCGGACAGACGTTCTATCCACAATGAACCCGCTTACCAACACTAATGGCTGCGTACGAGCTGAGCACCCAGCTGGTTTCCAGCTAGATCTAGCTATGTGGCAGCTTTTCACTCATCAGATTTATCACTCATATTAAGAAATTATTTGGCAAGTCCAGCGCAGATTGCTTTAAGAGCAAACTTAAAAAAAAAAGTGGTTCATATTGTGTACTCTTATTTGTTGGGCCAGTCGATTGTTGCTTCTGAAATTCAATATTTTCCTTCTTAATTGCCGCTATTTTCGTTTTTTAGCTATATTTCCACGACATCTGGGATTGTTATGCACTGACCAGTGTTGCGAAACAAAATGATTTGACGTTGACTCCCACGAACGTGTTCAAGCGGATTTAAACTAAGTTAAATATATACCTCAAATAACCGGCTTCCGAATGGCTGAGCCCCGTCGCCGTTTCCGTAACAAGAAGCGGGATGATTCGTGTTCCGGGCTCCTGGCACCCGTGACAATTGCACGGCGCGAGGACTCCTCCCGCATGATGCAGCCAAAAATTCTGCTGAAGAAGGATCGCGACCGGGACCAAGAGACCTGGGACAGGGAGCGGGACAAGGATCGGAAGCTGGAGAGGGACAGGGAGACGGAGCCGAGTCCCAATTATTACCCAGATACACCGGCGGCCCTTAAAACGATCATTATCAATCGCACGAGTGAGGTGCGGCCGGCAGACAGGTGCCAAATGTCTTTGGTCGGAGGTGTTCTTGCCCAGGGAAGCGGGCATTTGTCTGCCGCGCCGTCCACCTCCGTTTGCGCCGCATTGGCAAGCTCGGCACCAACTGGACGGGACAAGGGTAACTGCAGCGGTGGTGCCGGAACGGCTGGCACCTCGGCCGGACCACCGAATGCTCTCCAGGAGCTGCAGCCGCCACGCATGAACCGTCCCACCCCCCTCATCGTGGCCAACGGCATTTTTAATGCAAATGCCCGAAAGCTCTTCCACAAAACCAATACGGATTTCACCGTCATCGGCGTCCTGGGTGGTCAGAGTTCCGGAAAGAGCACGCTGCTCAATCTCCTGGCCGCAGAGCGGTCTCTGGACTACGACTACTACCAACACCTATTCTCTCCAGAGGCGGATGAATGCATCTTTGCCACGCGTCACAAGGTCAAGCCAAACAATGGGCAGAAGAGCATTTTGCGTCCTCGCACAGAGACCCTGCAGTTTTTCATTACCCGGGAACGTCACATACTGCTGGACACGCCACCGCTGATGCCTGTGAGCAAGGAACCGGGTCACCAGGATCTGCACTCCCTGGCCACCATGGCGCAACTATTGAGCGTATGCCATGTATTGATTTTAGTCATTGACGGCTTTGCCGTGGAGCAATTGCGTCTGATAAACGCTGCTCTTCGCCTAAGACCGACGTTCCCCTGCAAAGGCTATGTGCGGGATCACTTGCCGCAGATAGTATTCGTGCGCACACGTGCCCAGCGAATAGACTTCGAGCCACAGCAGCGGGAACGACTGGACAAGAAGCTGGCGTACTTATACGGGCACACGGGTCTGCCCATTTACCGGGGAAAAGGCGATGCACGGTGCTTAAACACCTTCCTGCTGCCGGAGGTGGTCAGCAACAAAGCCACCGCTTTCCATTCTTGCCTCGGCGAACTGGTGCGTCAGTTCCGAGAACGTATCCTCGGATCCACGCGTATCTCTATGTGCCACACCAGCACCGAACTCAGCGAGGCCATCTGGTTTGAGATTCTTGCCGAAAGTGCTCGTAAGGGGGTTCCTCATTTCGAAAATATCTACGCAGAGATCAAATTGCGCCACCTGGACACACGCTGTCAGTGGCGATCGGACAATTGGCGCACCTTCTCTTCCAGTACCGAAAGCTGATCCACAGAATGTGGGTATGCGGTTAGTATAGAACTATGTAAGTGGGTGCAGCGACTTGTACTGGGACTCGCGGGGCACGGATTGCTTTCCTGAGTCATTCTAGTGATCAAAGTTTCAGTGTTAATGCTTACTTATCATTTTATTAAAGACGTGTACAGTGTTATGGCCAATATGTTTAGCCAAATACCGACTAATAATAAGTATATTTTCAAAGGAAGTGTTTAAAGTTAACATATGAATCAGAAATTAAGAAAGTGACTGATATACATATTGTTTTATAGACATATCCATAATTAATAAAAGACTTAAAAAACAATTGTTTAGCATTCACAAACAATAGTATTTACATTTTTGAGCTTAGGCTTAACGATTAGAATACAGCATGGGAGCTTTTATCAACCGAAATAAAAATTATTTATCTATATTTTTTAAGTTTTCCTTTTGGTATATTTGGTTGGCCTAGTTGGGATAATGAGCATGATGAGCGAGAAATTTTCCTAAAACTAGCAATTTTTCAAAAATTAAAACAGCATATATAACAGTGTATACGGGACTAAATAGAGGTATATAGGTTAATCAATAACATCGACGCATTGTAGTGTCGATTCGAGTTCCCTGTCTTGCCTGTGACGTGGTAGTTAAGATGTTGGTGATGCCATCTGTAGGTGGGTTTGCACTTAGATTTGATTGTGGTGTTTTCGGTGTGATGTTGCTTTTGGTGTTGGATCACGTTGGCTGGGCCTTTATCTCAGGCTCACCGTTGGCCATGGCGAGCGGTTTCAGTTGCTGTTTTTGTTCCGTTTCATTCCGTTCTGGCTGTTGCTCCTCCTCCTCTTCGCTGTCCTCGCGAACAATGAGATCGTGTGGCTCTCTGGAGGCCTTGCGTTTGCCACGCTGCTCCTCAAACAGATCCGGCTTGCGGCAAACCCAGAAGAGGCTCTCGTACTCGCTCTGCTTCATTGAAGACGGATTCTGGGCGTACTTGGTTCGGATGCCGGTGCGCGATGTCTCGATCACGAATCCCACACTTTCCATGATGATGCATAGGTCCTCGAACGTCGGCTCGATGCTGTTTTGCCCGCTGACATCGCTGTAATGGTACAGCAGCGGTCCGAGATTCACCCAAATGCCACCAGGCACGAGGATTCTGCAAGGATAATGTAAAAGTCAAAAGAGCTGGTATATATAAATATATATATTCATTTGTGCCTCACTTGTAAATTGTGCGTATAAAATCAATAACGTTATTGGCACAATCAATGAAGAAGCACGTGGCGACGCAGTTGTAGGCGTTCGGCGTCTTGTAGACCTCCAGAAAGTCCCCTGCTGCTATTTCAAAATGGCCCTTGGGTGGGTTTTTAAGCGGGCAGACGTCTGGGAACCGAACGGCGGCCACCTGATCCTCGCGCCTTAAGTTATTCACATACTGGTGCACCCACGGGTATAGCACGTACTTGTTCTCATAGTCGCAGCTGCCGAAAGAGACAACAGAACACGTTCAATAACCAGCATTAGAAAGCAATGTACACAACTGACTGAACTGGACTCACAGGTTCAGGACAAAATTGGAGGCGATCAGCATGAAGTAGGAAAACTCGTTGCCCTCGCACGAGTATCCCAAGCAGGCAAGCTCATAGGTAAGTCGGCCCAGTCCCGCTCCCGGCACCAGGATCTTTATCTCCTTCAGCTCGCTGTTCAAACGAAAGCAAATGAATATCAAATCAGTTAGTGAAATGAAGTGCGCTCAGAAGTTACTCACAAATCGCTGGGCTTATAGTACTCGACGATGCTGTCGATGATTGGTTTATAGGACTGCTCCCGCTCCAAGGCTCCTTCAGTGCTCCAGTCGCGCGCAATCAACTTCAACGTCGACTGGGCCTTTAAAATTTTTAGAGGTTCAACGTCAGCTTCATCGAATGGAATATCAATCTGCGAGTTGAATTAGAGCGGGTGCGAGATACAAGGTGTGGGTGTCGTGTACAGATATGGAAAAGAAACATAAGCGAAAGAAGTTGGATTTTCAATCAATAAAAAAAAGGGAAACTGAAGATATGGTGCAAACTCTATTTACATGTACAAATAATTCCTAAACACAGGATTGACTAGATTATAAGTAAATATTAAATTTTCCTTGTTTTACCCGAAGTGTAATATTTGAAATTTTAAAGGAAAAAATGGAAATGACCATATACAAAGCGGTGGGAAAAATAGAATATCAAGTAGAGCTAAATTATAGGAAATTGGGATTTGAGGGAGGATGAAGGAGTGTTACTTAGGTTCCGCAATGAAGCGCAGATTTAGTCGATTACCTGGTCCATGTCACCGTGCCTCACATTTGGCGGCGGCTCTTCAAACTCCCACCGGTTCGCCGAAGGATCCCCAGTCGCCTCCTCCGCCGGATAGAGGACGCGCTCCCGCAGTATTTCCCGGATAACCGCCTGGTTGCGATCGATGCACGTGCGCACGCACTCCAGATGCCCTCGGTACTTGGCTAGCATGATTTGATCTTCGCCAGACAGGCTGTTCAGGTAATCCATGGAGCGTTTTAGCCGCTGGCACGCATATGGCCTGCATGGGAGAAATTAATTGATATCCATTATCAGCAAGCACGCTTATCACCAGTGATGATACCCTAAATTGTTTACATACAAGACGTATAAGTCATATAATCTGATCTCTTCGGTAATTAGATATGTTCCACATAAATTTACGCACTCGTATAACAAATGGCTATTTGGCTTCCGTGGTTATTTGGCTTCATGGGATACGTTAGAAGAGGCGACTTCTATGGAGCGCTGGGCCATTTGAAAACGCTAGCCAGATTTGGCGTGAATACTCCCGCACCGCCAGCACTGGCGGCATACGAAACGGGAGTTTGTCGGCAGCTTGTCTGCACATGTCGCTGCCCCCGCACCGCACCGCCTCGCTCCACCCATCCGCGATTGGTCGGCAGGCGTCCGTTTGGAGCATGTGCTCCAGAATGCAGCACAAAAACAATAACAATTACCCATAGTAAAGGAAGGCGTTCTGCACCTTCTGAATATGCTTCTCCTCCTCCTCCTCGTTGGCTGCGAACGCCCGGGCCAGCTGTTCGTCCATTTTGGGATGCATCGGGAACGTGGCGCAGTCCATGGAGCTCATCTGGGCGCGTCGGCAGCAGTTTCTACG